CTGGCAACTTTTTCCGCCAACCATGACTTAGCTGAACATAATATGACTTAAAATGACTAAAAATGTATAAAGTGTTCGGGACTTGCCGGCTAAATTTTGAAATGGCTCGGAGAGGGCTTATATAGCACTTTCGAGGCCTTTTTAGCACAAAACTTGGACCAAACCACTTGATTACGACATGATATTTCTAATATGAAGTTAAATATATTAAAAGAGGGTGAATAGGAGTATACCCCTCGAATCGATCGTGAAACGCACGATGACCTGCGCGTGCTAGCCCGATGTACTTGGTATGCGTGTGCTTCTTTGGACAAAGCTTCGGCACAAGCTATTTTTCCTCTTTTTTTTCTAATATTTTCGGTAATTTTCTATCTTTTTCTCACGGTTCTCTCTCTTTTGCACGATAGAATGGGTAGAAAATTTTAACCCATGGTCATGACTTCACTTAAATAAGTAAAAGGAAGATTAAGGTGAAATAATGCTCAAATCATGTAGCTCCACTTGCTTTTGCCGTGAGCTTTAGTGGCAATTTTCTTGCCTTATAATCAAGCTATGTGGCGCCCAGAGATGAACTTAGTCATCACATATGTGCTTAGTCATTCTATGGTGAAAAGAGAGAATGCCATGTGTTATAAGCTAGTAGGTGACTCACCACCATCAACTTGCAGAAAACTTTTCCTAGGGTAATTTCTACATGGCAATTACTTGGTGTATAAGCTTGGATAAATTAACTTGATCATGATACTTAATAAAGCTGTAACGCCCCGTTCGTTTATGAATAATTTGGATTATCGTTATTGTTCTTATTAATGTTATCATTATTTGTGGCTATTATTATTGGTAATTAATTGTCTAAATGTTTAAATAATTTTATGTGCCTAATTGTATTTATTATATATATATTTTATATTTGTGGTATTTTATTTTAGTTATTAAATACTATTTTAAAATATTTTAATTTATATTATTGTAATATTATTTTTCCGTCCCCCCGAGCTTGTCGAAACCGAGCCACGCGAGCCGTGAAGCTCCGCCCAAGCCCGCGCCTAAACCGCCCTTTCC